ACCATATCCCGTTAGGTGAGGTAGAACTTAAGCAAAAAGAGTTCCTCAACTTGAAGCAAGGATCTATGTCAGTGTGTGAGTATCGTAACTGGTTCACTCAATTGTCATGCAATGCTCCAAAAGAGGTGGATAGTGATGCTAAGAAGCAAAAACATTTTTTGAAAGGACTAAATGATGGTTTGCAACTACAGCTGATGACCGTGGTGTATGGTGTCGACTATCAAACATTGGTGGATAGAGCAATTGTAATTAAGAACAAGCATCGAGAGATGGAAGAGAAGAAGAGAAAGCATGACCTTCAACGCCAGTTAAGAAAATACTCGTCTCTGTTTTGCTACACAACCAGAATATCAGTCACACCCTATGAATCTACTTGGAAGTAATGATCAAGATCAGTATCATCAACCTAATGATGAAGTGCAACATTTTAGCTCTCGAGAGCCATGTCTGTCTTCTCCCACTATCACCGTGATAACGACAAATACTTCTACTAGAAAGGAAGGTTATGATTATGGTGAGATTGAACCCTATAAGAACGATTATCTTGAGAAGTTTGCTGAGAGTAATCAAAGCCAGAATCAACAGCAGGATCCAGAATAGAATGTTCATAAGGAGCAGGTGCAAGGCAATAAGTTAAAGTGAAACTACATTCAAGGCAGGTTGAACAATGTGGATCTGATTACCACTCATGGAGCTAAGGAGGTCATTTATGGTTTGATTGCAGTAAGCTTAGACACTGCTATGGTGTTGTTTGACCCCAGTGCATCACATTCATTCATCTCTAGGGAATATGTGGAAGAATATAAGATAACTATGCTTTCAATGAGGAAACCCCTAATAGTTAACTCTCTAGGAGGAGAAAAGAAGGCAAACCGCATATGCCCAAAAGTTAGTCTTAACATAAAAGGGAAGAACTTCGAGGCAAACCTTATAGTTTTGGAGTCAATGGACATTGATGTTATCTTTAGAAAGGGATGGTTATCTGCTTGTAAAGGAGTAATTAAGTATGCTCAACGTTCGGTGCTACTAACAACACTGTTAGGAGAAAGAATTGAGTATGAGGGTATTCAACCTGCACCTGAGGAAGACGAGAATGACCTATTAGAAGGTGTGTCCTATGAGGATAGTAAAGTGGACTGTGAGTTTTCAGATGTCAATGTAGAGGAACAAACACCTTGGGAAGGAGATATGAGACATCTATAGTTGGTTCTATGTGGACTTAGAATTATGTTTGAGAGTTGAGCAACTTAACCGGAATCATTAATGTTTTGAAGATTTGTGGTAGATTCTCTTTCTGACCAAGAAAGTGAAAAGGTTCCATTGGAAGGTGGATATTTTAAGAAAGATAATTGGTATTATAGGAAAGGTGGCCTCGTGATTGGAGTTACAAAAGAATTGTTTAAAGTACCCGTCAAAATCTTGGAAATTAGTTAAGCAAGTTACTTTGAGTAAGGTTATCAAAGTGACGCAGCGGAGGCATGGTGGCCCATAACCCACATGCTCCAGGATTGGATTACTCGAGGAAGTGAAGAAGTTTTCAAAGGCAGAGTATCCATATCTCTTTGATCACCATCGTCTGAATCTCGAGGACGAGATTCATCTTAAGGGGGGGTAGAATTGTAACACCCTTAAAATTTGCTCCTTGTTAAATAGAGTTAAAATGGTTTTATTATGAATTTTTATGCTCATGAAATATAGGAAAATAAATATTTTTTCATTAAATTAAAATTTATTATAGGGTGTAGCAGCATTGTTGAGCATACATGCCTTTGCATTGATTTATTGAGATGTGTGGCTTTGTACAAAATTCAAAAAATGATTCAAATTGCTTTGAATGGATTTGAAAAGGGTTTTGAAGTAAAAGAAAAAAAAAGAAATGGAGAAAGCTTCCCCCTCCTCTTCTGGCCTGACGGCCCAGCTCTCTCCTCTCTCCCTTTTTAGACCAGCTCCCTTCCTCCCAACCACGTGGCTCGCTTACTCCATTCCCACGCGTAGGCCCAAGCAAGCAGCCCTGCAGGTCGGCCCAGGTCGACCGCGTGGACGCGCCGCCTTTCCTCTCCTTCGGCCTGCTCCAACACTACCCTCTCCCGTGTGGACCTACAGCGACCCGGTCCAGCAGCGAAGCCTGTGTCTTCCTCCTCCCTCTGTCCCACTAACGAAGCGGCCCGTGCGTCAGCGCCTTCCCATTCCTCCGGCCGTGCCCGTAGCGGACTCTGTTTGGGAACCCGTCGCCGCACACCCCACTCTTCCTAGGATATGGCTTGTCCCCCACGCCTGGACCCCCATAAATAAGGACCTGAGCTCGTGCCGCCCTCCCTTGACCCTAGAGCAGCCACCTTGCTCGCCTAGCTATACCACTGCCCACTCGGGATCTTGTCGAAGTGTAGAACTCGCCTAGCGCCGCCATTGGCGCCGGCCACTGCTTCCAAAGACCCTAGGTGAGCTCACCTTGATCCCCGCTTCCAAAGACCCTAGGTGAGCTCCTCATCGCTGGCGATGGCCACCACCCTGCCGGAGTTACTATGCTAGCCGGAGAAATCCTCACAACCATCGATAGCTGTCCGATCTAGGATTCACGGTCTAGATTAGAATATACCCCTTCATAGGCCATCTTGCTAAAGAGTCCCTTTACTTTTCTATTTTTGAACCCGTCGTCCCTATATTTTTGCTAAAGAACCACTCAGGTTTTTTATTATCAAACACGTAATCCAAAGCGTATTAGCAGAATACGTATTATTCTTTGGATTTTATGTTTGGTACACTGTTCTAATTTAGTTTTATTGTTTGCTTCGTGTATGATTGCATGGATGCTTGTGTGGTGCTTTATGATCATGTCCAGTCGTTGAGCTATACGTGGTAAATCAAGAAGCAGATCTTTGAAGGCTTGGACTAGAAGAAGGATCTGAGTTTAAAGCAAGTATAGCATGGGATCTTCCTTGTTGTCCTATTCACCTTAATATCATTTTAATCATATGCATGTGTCAACCTTGGCAACTGTAGTAATTTTCCTAGCTATTTGATATCCTGGATTCATTGATTCCTATGGATTATTGCATTGGGTAGTATGATGCTAGTGTTCAACTAAAGCCATGATCTTGTAACTTCACTAATGGTATATGCAATAAACATTAAAAGATGCTTTTTAGCGACATGGAACAAGGGGGCTAGAGCATTGGGTTATTTCTATGGTGCTCTAGATTCCTCTCCCTAAGGACTTATCTATAAGCGAAAATCCGGGACTTATAGTACAGCTGTGAGGGCTACATGGCTCTGGCTTTAGCTCAATATGAGGACCTTTCTAGCTTGTTAGTGGTTACCTTTATGAAGCAAGATGGGCTTTGATAGGTATGATATTACCTTCATTTGTAGCTATATGTGAGATTAGACTTTCTGGGCTCACATATGATATGTATCTGGTTTTGTCCTTAAAACCGGGTGCTACACCACGACATCACGATGTTGCCACTGAATGTTGCTGCTGTCGACTAGATCTGCCGCCACCCTTGGTGCTCCCGAGCTCACTATCGTGGAGGAGAGCCAGCTGCCATGGATGAGGGCGCTGCACTAGTGTGGTGGGACCATAGCCGTGGGGCACCACCATAACTATTGGTCGCACCCAATGCGCCACCAAGGTGTCACGCGGCCCATGTTGAAGGGGCCGCCTGAAGGGATGAGGGCCGGGGGCCGTCCCCTGGGGCCACAACTGCGCCCATGAGGGACCGCTGCTAGGCGGCCGCACCATGGGCTTTTATATTTTTTGGCTAGTCTCTTGGATGGCACACATTCAAATAGCACCCTCCTAAAAAATCTTACAAATTTACCACCGGATACAGAAGAAATCTTACAAGTTTGCCAAAAACAGGCTTTTTTGCGTGTGTGGTGTGCTAGGTCACGATGCCAAAGATGGGAGGCGGCTTGCAAAAAGATGAAGCTGCCCTTACCCTCAGCAACAACACTAACTGCACGGTCCTTGTCTCTCTCGTGCCTAATCCATTCGGTGGAGCGTGGAGGCCTCGTTCACATCGTTGTCCCGTGCCCCCACCGCCGATCCACCGTCATCGACCTCTTCCTCCATCGCTGAACTTGTGTCCCACGCCAGATGCAAGGTACGCCTAATGCGCCTCAGCTCACAAACTCATTTCCCAGCGTGGGTTTGCTGTGGATCTTGCCTAGGGTTTGTATTTGATTTGTACTTTCGTAGAATGTGCGGTTGGGGGAATCTCTTGTGGTTCAATGTAGCACATCAGGTGCTTCTAGGGGTGGACCCTTTGCAATGGAGGTGCCGCTGGTCCGACTACCACTAGGGAAGGCTACAGGGTTCCCTCTAGTCAAGGGCCCATGGTGCAACAGTGCAAGGGTGATTGAGCTTGTGGCCAAGACAGATTTGAACTTTGGTCAAATTTTCTTCAAATGCCCATTCAATATAGAATATGTAAGCTCAAGGACTATTCTTCAAATTTTCCAGGCTCTAAATTGACTCCACAGGAGCAAGAAAAGAGTCAACGCCAGCTGCCAGCATATGGACTATTCTCTTTTTCTTTCATCAAAGATGATAAATAGTTTAAGGACTGGGTTGGTCAAACCGCAACATCAGGGGCCAAATTAGGCATCCCTCCCACCAAACTTCCGTGATTAATTTGGCTATCCCACTTTGCTTTTTTAGCAAATGAAACCATGTCCAAAGCTTCTTTTCTCTAATTTGGAAACTGGTGGTTTCATTTTCGCTACTGTAATCTATAATACATTCTCACGTTTCAGAAGTTTGGAGCTACTATTTCTATTTCTAACGAAAGCATAATAATCATGAATGCAATAACCAAATCTAACTGCAAGCATTCAGATTTCAGACAAACATCGCCCAACGAAAGTAACGAAAGTAACAGAGTTCCAAACTCCTAAAGCCAGCAACGCCTAGGAGTTCACAGACCACAAAAACATACCAAACCAATGCATCATCCTTTTAAGCTGATACATACAAGGCCATTGAATATCGCCAGAGATTAGTAGCTGATGTTTCCATCACTTCCCTCGGACTCATCATCTTTCAGATTACCTTTGACCAGCCGTGGCCTCTTCTCTCGTTTTGAGCGTGAAGCACCAGACAACGTCTTAATTTTGATAGACTGACATGGTGCTTCTTCATCACTTTCTTCATCGGATGCCACATACTCTGCCTCGATAAATAATTTATTTGCCAGCTTCGCTAGACCTACTCCATCTCCGCTTCTCGCTCGTGCCATCAGCAAATCCCAATTATCCTGTCGTTGGGCCTCATAGGGAAACATGCCCACCAGCCATTCAAATGGTTCGTCGTCACGGTGAAGGTACGCAAGTACATGATCTCTATCTCTCATTTGAGCTTTCCCTTGTATCCTTCTGTTGACGGTCACAAACATTGAATCCTCAAATTGAAAAATTTTAATCCAAGATGGCTTTTCTTTATGGATCTGAAAAGGAACAGAGAATAGTGTAACAGAATTTCTTATTAGCCTTTTAAAAAATGTCTGAGTTACACAAATGAAATTATGATAAGTTGAAGAACTGATGGTTGAATGTTTGAGACTAGCTTATCACTATGTTACCATTTCAATCCAACTTGGCTCGTAGGCCAGTGAGCCACAGGTTAACCATAGTATCCTCAGTGCCATAGTACTCAACTCCTTTGCTGTACCATCATGTAATTGCCACCAGGAAACTACATATAGGACAAGAGTTAGCTTGTATATCATACTAAAGAAGACTACACTGTGAACCTTGACAAACAAATTAAAAAAATGCCAAGATGTTCTGTCCTGCAAGAAAGTTACCTGGGTGAACATCCATCCGAGTACTAAAGGCATGAACCATTCCAAAACTCTGTGAATCAGTGCTGTAAAGCTTCAATTGATGCACAATTTTCTCTTGTGTAGACTCATCTTGGTACATCTTACATGCACACTCAAAAAGTGCATCTCTGAATATTTCTGTATTTTCAATTTCATGTCTGTTTTGATAGTAGAACCAAGGATTCAAATAATAAGCAGCTAAGTGCAATGGTTTCATCATGTACAAATTTATTCTAAAATCTATATGGTGCCATACTGGCAAATAGTGCTCTTCCTTGTTTTCAAAGCGAAAGGCAATTTCCTTTTTAGCGTTCATAAGTTCACCATATATGTATCCCATAGAGGGTCTGCCACTCCCCATCCTCCTCAGAACCTCCACTAGTGGTTCAAAACTATTTATAGCATATAGCACATTATGCCAAAACTCATTGCTCACTACTAAATTATAGAATTTCTTGCCCACTGCTTCCTTTGACCACTTGCTGTCCTCCCATTCTTTAGAAATAAACATAGTCTTCAATTCAATCCTTTTATCATAAAGGCTCCTCAAGTTCAAGCAGCAAGTGGTGTAATAGGTTATCCCAACATGAACCAAAATCCTGCTGGTTGGTGAACTTTCGGGTCATGTCCAGCAAATTTGTCTGTGCATAAATAAAAGCTGTGAGTGATCTTGCTTTAGCGATTGTTTTCTTGATTAAACAAATATGCCCTATGTCTTCAACCATCAAATCAATGGAACTTGCAGCACACTGAGTCCAAAATATGTTCGGTCTCTTTCGAGGCAGATTTGCTCCAGTCTTCTCTATACCAACGTCCCCAATGAATTGCACCACATTTTTCTCTCCAATTTCTTCAATACAAGAATCAACTAGTGGGCAAACAAATGCTTGGTCGTAGCTGCCTGAAGGTAGTTCGATGGAACGAAGGAATGACACACCATGAGAACAATCAACTGCCAAGTTTAACATCCATCTTCCATCATCATCAAGATCTATATAAGCCAGAATAGAGCATCCTTCGGACATCCAGTATTTTTTCAGTGCTTCAATGGAGCCATTGATTGCAAAAAGTTGCCTCCGAAGCGGGCCATCAAGCTCATCCAGAGAGCGTACCTGTAAACCAGGGCGACATTGTGCAGTTGCTTCTAACATTAAGTCAAAACTCTATACGAGCAGTATTAAAAGGAATCCCAGCTTCACTGAACCATGCAACTATACGCTCAATAGCCCTTCTCTTCTTTTCCATCTGTTCTGAATCGCGGATAGCTTGTGCATTTCCTCCTTTCTCTATTGTTTGTTCTGTATTTGGCACGGCAAGAGTATCAATTGGCCCTTCACTATCTCGATCATTGGATCCCAAATGATTATCTTGTGATGTATTTCCATGGTCGTTGTCACCCAGTCTGCGTCATACACTTGTCAATCATAAGTTATTTCACTGTAGTACATCAATAATGGCTAGCACAATGAGATTTTCAGTCAACATATTTAGCTCCACAAAAGTTGCCTATAAGGTTATAAGTCTCTATACGCCTATAAGGCTATAAGTCTCTATACAACAGGCTCTGCCATGTTTGGTTGTAATAAAGAGGACAAAACTTGTTGGCTTCTCCACAGATTTTCTTGTTGTCATTATGCAAGCAACACTGCATCTTACTTTACTTCCGATTTTCTCTGTTTGGTGTTAATAAATTGAGCAAAATAGCAAAAAGGATGCACCAAGAATCAAGTTTAACACTGACCATTCTAGAGTCTAGACTTAGAATTGTCATAATAAATGCAACTACTTTTGGGTACTTTTGTTTAGTTCTTCATAACTGGCCTCAAACCATTGTCGGATAGCCTAAAGTAGGCCATATGTTGAAGCTTGGTCAGCGAAATCACAAAGATATTAAGGACGTATTGACATCAACATATGGATATTGGCAAGGTACTAAGAACAGCACTAGCCAAATAATAGTTTTGCATCATTCGGTGGTACTTTAAAATTTTAGAGACTACTATGCCACTATGGTAGTGAAAACAGCAATCATCATTTTACCTTCATTCGCAATCATCTTTCATCTTGCCGACCCTCAAGCATACGCCCCCCCCCTTTCTCCCCGACCCGCCCTGCCTCAAGCACATAGCATAACTATGATACGCCAAGCGGCAATGGTGTCACTAGAACACTCGGATGCATAAAAATCCTAAAATTCCTGGACAACTGGCCGTCCACTGCAGTCCACAGGACAAACTAAACTAACAAGCAGTGCGGACAAATTAACCCACCCAAATCGACACCCGAAACTGAAATTATTTTGCACAGGAGAAATGAGGAAAGTAATCCATGTAAAGAGCACGCATGAGTGAGCAAAGAGGACCTGGCAGAAGAGGTGGCCGCGCCCATTTCCAGCTTCACCGCAGCGGAGAAACCAGGCCGGCAGATGAAGGGGTCGAGAGGATAAGGACTGGGGAATGGCCTTGGGGACGTGAAATGCGGGGCTGGTGGCGCGTGGCATCAGTGTGGGAGGGAGGGTGGCCGGGGTCGGAGGGAAGGGTTCTTGGTTTCCCTCCGTTTCGGCAATGATTTTAGGTTCGGTTTCCCGCTGCTGCCGCTAGTGGGGGATGGCGGAGGGGGCAGCAGATGTGTAGCAGGCCTGTAGCCGAGCGAGTAGCTGCCTGATTGGACCCTTGGATGGGCTGGGCTGGGTCTGGTCCTAGAAGAGCGAGTGTTTATCTTTTTGACTCCGTTAATTATTAACTTTTATGATAGTCTGATTTCCCCTTTAGAAAACCAGAATTTCAACCCCTTTTAGTTTAAATTTTTATATAAAATCATTTGTTTGTATACTCTATGTGGTTTTTTTTTTCTAAAACTGTAAAACAACATCACGTCAGCTGTGTCACGTCACGTCAACTACAAGAGTGTACAGTAGATCAGACTTCGTGGTTCAGGGGTAATTCAGACTACAGATATTTAAAAAAAAAAATATTACATGTTTTTTTCTAGAAAATTTTTACGATTTAAAATCCCAAATCTAGTTTAATATAAGAAAAATCATAGAAAATTGTTTTAGCTTAGAATTTATCAAACTACTTTCATTTTTTTTTAAAAATCATATATATCACTATACCACATCCCATCTTTAACTTCTCCTTATATGTTGGTATATAGGCTGTTTCATCGAGTTCTGGTCAGTCGTTATATATCTGTACTGACTTTTTATATTTGTTGATAGTGGTGCTCATAAATATCTTATGGTGGCTAGTTCAAAAATTTTAAAGCTATTAATTCTGGTACGTTCTCCTCTCCTTGTTTCGTGTCCCTTTCGATCTTGCTCTCCTATAATTTAACTTCAAGTCATCCGTCTCGCAGGGACTCGCTGGTTATAAATCCCGGCCGCATCTTCCGAAGGGGCCGGAGGGCGTGGCTCGGCAAGCTGCCCTGAAGGAGGTGGCGGTCGTGAAGAAGAAGAAGAGAGCTGAGAAGGCTCGGAGGAGGCACGGGAAGGAGATGGAGATCGCCCGACGGGTGTAGGCTGGCGAAAATCGGAGCGACGTGGAGGCGGAGCTTGAGTCGGAGGAGCCCAGGGAGCTGGGCGTTGACGTGAGCACCTCCGAAGATGAAGGAGACCGGGACGTCGTTGCGACCTCAGTGGAGTGTCACGAGCCTGCGACTGTGTCTACCGGTGGTGGGCGGGATGCGGAGAGGTGTAGCGACATTCCTGCATTAAGGAAGCGTGCCGCGAGCTTGGACGCTGCCATTGAGCGAGAGGCGAAGCGGACGCGGTCGTCGCGGCCTCCGGAGGCATCGCCCCCCTGCTCCAAGCGTGGCGGGGCTGGCCAGCCGGTCTAAGGAGTGGGCTCGCACCCCCGCATCTTTGGGGTCGGTGCGTGCGTGCGACGCTCAACAGGGGGATGCCCCGCTAGCTGCTCCGGTGGGCGCGCCACGAGCCAGCGGGCGGGGAGACTCGCGGGCCAGTCGGGAACCGACCGGGTCAGCACCTTCCTTTGTCGATGTGAGGGGGTGTGGGTCGCGGCCCGCGAGTGGTCCTCATCTGGCAGGCATGTCGCCAGTGGTTCAGGGCTTTAGGGCCCTACTGCTTTCATCCAGGTATGCATCCTTTGTTTCTTTTTGATCTCATAGTTTTAGTTTTTTTAGTGCGACCGACCTGTACTTTTTTTATAGTGGCCAGATACTGACGGGATTGAGCATCGCCCCGCCTCCCATGCAGGGGGAGTGGTGACCTAGCCTGTAGCGAGTCGCGATGAGCGGTGGGGAATGCAGGCTGGCGGCGGTACGACCTTCCCCTCTGGGGGTTGCGCCCTCCTGGCCGGTCGTGGGTTTGGCGGCAGCGGCAGCAGCAGTGATGGCAGCGATCCCGATAGCGACGGTGGAGGCTGGGTCAGAGGTGACCCTCGCGATCCCTCCCGCGCAGGCCACGGCGGAAGAGAGGAGGGAGACCAGGCTCCCTGCCTCGCCCGGCGGACGGATGCACGGCTCGCCCTCCTGGTCGGAGCTAGAGGTGTCGGGAGGAGACACGGCTAGGCCGGAGGGAGAACATCCGCCGGCGAGCCGTGGAGTCGAGATAGAGGAGATCCCTTGCTCCGGCGAGGCAAGCTCCAGGGTGGAGCCACCATCCCTCCCGCCATCGCAGGAGCTTGTGGTGGTCTGGTCGTCGCATGATGCTGCAGTGGCTGGACCTTCCAGTAGGTTGGGGCGGTTCGCGAGCTAGTGTGGCCCTGCCCCAGTGACCCGAGGAAGGTTCGGTTAGTCCTTCGCGACAGGGAGGAGGTGGCTCTCTAGCACTTCCTGGAGGAGAGCAGACTATCGATGGAGTCCGACCTCGCCCAAGCCAAGGCGAAGCTCAAGGAGGCCTTGGAGCGGGTGGAGCTCGTCCATTAGGCGGTTTCAGTTGACCTACCATGCATCGCCGAGGTAAGCCTTCTGCTTTTTTTAGCATTTTGTCCTTTGACTCCTTGGTCTTCTATTGCTTGTTTCAACATGCCTGCCTCTTGCTTTACAGGAGTTGGAGGCGACGTCGATCCGCAAGTCCCGTTTCCTCTGGGAGGAGCATGGTCGGATGGAGCGGGAAGCCGTGATGATGTGGTGGGTCACTGAGCTTGAGTGTCAGCTGGAATCCGCCTGCCACGAATCACAAGATCGGGCGGCCGAGGCGCTAGGAGCACGGGTGGCGGAGCTTCTCGCTGCAGAACGGGCGACCGCTGTTGAGCGGGGACTTGCGGCGGTGATGGTCCAACTGTCGGAGACCGAGGCAGCAAAGGTTCGGTTGGTGGAGATCAAGGCGGGGCTCTAGGAGTCTTTGGAGACTCTGGAGATAGAGCGGAAGGCTCGGTCGGAGGTGGACCAGGAAGTGCT